TAGAATATTATGCTACCTTGAAGAATAACAAGGAAGCCTCAAACCACCATATAACATGGATGAACCTTGAGGACATTATGCTGAGTGAAATTAGTCACGTCACAAAAGGAAAAATACTGCATAGGAACATTATTGTAAAATATTAAGGAAAAAATAACCACACTCATATACTGCTGGTTACCGCGGTATATGAGGTGGGGTGAGGAGAAGGAGGGGAAGATGGATCGCAGGGTAGGGAATAGACACAGGATAGTTTGGGAGCTGGGGGTGTGTGTGTGGCACTACACTAGAAAGGGGAGGGGAATGGAAGAATAAGGCTGATGGGAGAACACTTAGGTAGGTTTACACGGGCTAAGTGGGACAGAGGTAAATAATGATGTATGCACACGCTTGGAACAACAGGGCTATGGGATACAGGGATTAAGGCATGATTTGAAGTGTTAAAAGATGAGAAATTATGTTAAGATGCTTGGCTGTCTTTTGAATCTTGGTTTCCCTTGCCTACTATTGTAAAATAGACACCTGAGAGGAAGAGAAAGGAATAGCCAGAAACATCACCATAGAAAACCTGGAAGTCTGTCTTCAGCCTATAACTGATTGGAATACCTAAAATGGGGCTAGAACTTGCCCGGTGAAGGAGGCTTCCTGTGGAGCCTTTGCATTGCATAAGACCATAGGTAGAATCCTGGTCCACATCCAGAATCAGATTCTGAGGTGGGAAACTTACACTTGAAAGGACAAGTAGACCAGCCTGGAGCGGCTAGAACAGAAGAACTTCTTGAAAGAAAGGCCATCAGGAAAAGTAAAAAACAATAATGGCAGTCTGATAGACTACTACAAGAACAGCCAGGCGACATCAAGGCAAGTGGTCAGGTCCCCTCAGGGCAAAGCCCCTTACAAGACTAAGACTCAAGGGGAATAAACGAGTAGGCATGTGGTCTTGTTGGTCACCGATAAGGGGAAGTGGGTAAAAAATAACAATGAAGTTGTGAGCTAAGTCCAACCACATTCAACAGACTCCTGTGAAGCTGGGTGGAGACCTGGTTGGCCAGCAGTGTTGCAAAACCTGGGGACTCCTGGGCCCAGAGACAGGGACACGGCCACAGAGGACTAGAGTGGAGAGTGAAGCGTGCAGCTGACATGAAGGGAGGAGAGATGCATAAGAACACACATACTTGCAGATAGTACCCACTTGACCTGGCTTCAATGATTCGATGATTAGAACTCGACTAGAAGAAGAAAGTAGAGGGACAAAAAGAGTAATCCACCACAATATTATGGACTTGACCTATATTTATGGATGTAGTATCTCAAAAGAGGGAACAAATCTTTACAGTGAGGATCGTTCCCACCCCCTCAGTACACAGGGTTGACAGGGATGGGCAACTTAGACACTGGCTACCCAAAATGGTGGGGATGGGGGTGGGGGTTACAAAGGCAAAAAGTGACTGGCTTAGAAGCTTTCAAGAGGTAGCCTAGTTCTAGAGGGTGCAGGGGAAGGCCGAACCTCCACTGAATGGTTTCTAACCTGTCTTGATAGGGCTGATGAAAAGAGATGGGGATAAGACTCTTATGGTTCAATAGTGGAATAATTGCTATCAAGTCTGTGAGTGTTGGAAATGTAAAGGTAGAAGTTTTGTAGCAAAAGGAGGGGAGTGGTTGATTTTGCAGTACAGGAGCAGAGGTCCCTGGGACCATCAAGGGACAAGAGTAGAGCGTGGGACTCTACCCAGAGAAGCAGTGACACCAGAGATGGAGGCAGAGACAATGACATGGAGAGATGGAGCGGCTGGGGACTCTGGACTCAGGGAGGGAGAGGGGTTGTGTGCTGATGGCCGGAGGACAGGCTTGTAGGGTATACCCTTTGGTTGTTTGATGATGCATGGCAGGGATTGTAATCATTGCAATGAAACGAGATACGATAGGATGAATGTAAAGATAATGTTCTCCGCAGCAGACTAGTACATAATTCACAATAAAAACGTTTATTTAAAAAAAAGTACATTAACAGGTAACTGCCAGAGGTTCAAGTTGGATTTAGGTGAGGATGTGGAATGAGGGGCATCATTGCTGACGTCAGATGGATCTTGGCTGAAAGCAGAAAATACTAGAGAGATGTTTACCTGTGTTTTACTGAAAATGCAAAGGATTTTGATTGTGTGGATCATGACAAGCTATTGACAACATTGTGGAGAATGAATATTCCAGAACACTTAATTGTGCTCATGAGAAACCTGTATATAGACAGTTGTTCGAACAGAACAAGAGAACACTGAGATTTAAAATTAGGAATGGTGTGTTCTGGGGTTGTATTTTTTTTCATCATACTTATTCAATCTGTATGTTGAGCAAATAATCCAAGAAGCTGGATTATATGAAGAAGAACATGGCGTCAGGATTAGCAGAAGACTCATTAAGAACCTGCGATATGCAGATGATATAACTTTGCTTGCTGAAAGTGAAGAGGACTTAAAATACTTACTGATGAAGATCAAAGAGCACCGTCTTCAGTATGGTTTGCACTTCAGTGTAAAGAAGACAAAAATCCTCACTACTGGACCAATAAATAACATCCATATAAATGGAGAAAAGACTGACGTTGTCAAAGACTTCATTTTGCTCGATCACACCTATGGAAGCAGCAGTCAAGAAATCCAATGACGTATTCTATTAGGCAAACTCTGCTCCTCAAGACCTCTTTAAAGTGTTAAAGAGCAAAGATGTCAGTTTGAGAACTAAGATGCACTTGCCCCAACCCATGGTGTTTTCTATAGGCTCACATGTGTATGAAAGTTAGACAATGAATAAGGAAGACCATAGAAGAATTGATGCATCTGAAGTTATGGTGCTGGAGGAAAATATTAAATGTACCATGGACAGCCAGAAGAACAAATAAATTTGTGTCGGAAGTACAGCCAGAATGCTCCTTGGAATCCAAATGGCGAGACTTTGTCTCTCATACTTTGGATATGTTATCAGGAGGGACCACTCCCTGGAGGAGGACATCATGCTGATAAACTGGAGGGTCAGCAAAAATAGGGGAAGACCGCCAACCAGCTGGATTGGCCCAGGGTCAGCAGCAACGGGCTGAAGCGTCATGATGATAGTGAGATTGGCACAGGATGGGAGGGGTTTCGTTCTCTGAGCATGTGCATAAGGTCTCTGTGAGGTGGTGGTACCAGCTCAACGGCACCAAACAACAACTACAAATTGTAAGAAATGCTTCCTAACAATCTGGGTTGCATCTACAAACACACATCAAAGAAAAAATATTAATAACTGATGATGGGAACTACAGGTTAAATGGAGTGGAGTCAAATCTACCAATTGCAACACATGAATCTGATTTGGCTACGGTCGAGGATAAATTAGGAAAGAAAACATGGGACAATCAGTTACATTTGAGCCCTGGATGGCTATCTATTAACGTCATTGATCATTCTGCCATGCTATCTTCCTCCAGAGACACACTGGCATTTTTTCTCTGATGAAATGAGATGATGTCTGAAATTTGCTTCACAAAGATCTGGGGTCCAGGGCAATGGGCAGGGAGGTCAAGAAGTCACATTGGTTGTGATATGATGGCTGTTTAAGCTGGTAGCGGGAACACTGGACTTCATTATATGACTTTGTCTACTTCTGTACGAAGGGAAATTTTTAATAATAAAAACGCTAAAAGAAACATGAATAAAATATGCATGATGCTGACACTCATGGTTGACGTTCAGGGAGAAGGGAAAGGTGTCAAGGCAACAATGGGGCTCTTACCTTTTCATTAACTGGAGGAAAATTCTTCTTGGTAAGCGGTACACAAAGGCATCGAGGACAGTCTTGAGGTAATTCAAAGACACATAGCCGCTGTTGCAGGTGTCTCCCGCGCTGAGCCCTTTTTCCACCCTCTCATAGGACTTCAAAAGCTGCAAGGAATTAGGATGAGAGTATTGCCTTTTTGGAAATCAACTTCCTGGAGCAGGCCAGCCATTTCAGTTCTACCCACAGCCCCTTCCCATTTTCCTCCGCCCTTCCCCCGAAAGTGATCAAAAAGGTTATGACAGCATGTACCAGGCTTCAAATGTTTAATTGATGAGCTTAGTACAAAACACAACTCCCAGCCACAGACAGCCACCTGACAAGGCAGATAAGTTTCTCGGGGAAAACAAGCCCAGATCTTTACTCTTGCTCACGTGGCAGAGCTAAAAATACTGGGTGAATCTGCCAGTTTGATCCATCTTTCTTCATATACTTTCAAGCCGCTCCTACTGTGGGCCCACCCTGTGCTTTTCCTGATTAAATCTGGTCAATCAAACAACAAAGCTGGTACCACTTTATTAAAAACTCCGAGTGGCTTCCGCAGTCAGAAAAAGGACCCAAGTAAAGACTACACAGACATCGGAGAGCTGGACGCTTCTTAAATCATTCCTCATCTGTTTGTTTGAATGGGAAATTACCAAGAACCTGGCTGCCTGAGCTTCGCTTCTGGGTCGTTGAAAGGTCTGTAATGTAGGTTAGTCACCGATTTTCACTGTGAATGAACACTGGTTTCACTTTGGATGTCTCTCCTGCTGTTTGTTATTGAGTGATAACACCTTTCTCCAATATTTTCAACCCTCCCCCTTTCTTTGAATTCAGTATTTCCTGGTTACTGGGCTAAGAACAAAATCACCAACCACTTGTCATAAAAGGTGACTTTCAAAACAAAACAAAAAAGGCAACTGGAACTTGCAAACAGCCAAAGAGCCTTTACTAACTAATGGGATAATAAAAGATTCATGCATTTTCCATAGGGACGGGGCAGGGAACTTTTTTTTCTACCAGGGACCATTTTGATGTTTATAACATCACTTAATATCAACTTATTTTGCTATGAAAAAAGCTGTTAGATTTATGGAATTTTGAGTCCTGCCTGAGGTTGCCTTGGTAGGGCAGGCAGGATCAAATGATTTCACAGGCTTATAAGGTCTGCGGCCAAGATGTGCCCCACCCCTGCCTTAGGGTATGCAGGAATATATGAAATCTAAGGACTCCTGGTGTGGCACTTGACTGCAAACCACACGGTGGGCAGTTCAAAGCCAGCAGCTGCTCCTTGGAAACCCTATACAGGTTCGCTATGAATCGAAACTGATTCAACAGCACAAAGCAACAGCAACAAAAGCTTTAGAAATATCCAGACTCCCAAGACCTCAGCTTCCTGGGAAATTAGAGGGAGTTGACCAAAAATGCGGCTAAATTGGACACCACTCTGTCTATGAAGTTCGGTGAAACCCTGGCTGGCAGGAGGCCTGTCTTCCAAGGTGCCTCTGGGTAGGTTTGAACCGCTAACCATCAGGCAAGTTGTCCAGTACAAACCGTTTGTTTGCATCCATTTATTAGATGAGTGTAATCCATTGTTAAAATCCTGTCTCTGATAGGTTTTTACAGGTTGTTGTGTTTTCCAGGAAAAGTGTTTCTGACATGATCAAGATCTTTCAGAAAAAGATCTAGGGCACAAATCAAAAAGGCATCTTTGTGACTATCTTTGTACAACGTTAGAGGATTTGTCATTTACGCTTTATCAAGGAAGTACAAGCCTTTGTTAAATAAATTTTTTTTAAAAGGCAAGCAGTTCAACAAAGTATAAAAAAGGAAGATTCCTAGAAGTCTCCCATCCATAGTTTTGCACATAGCTTTTCAAAAACTGCCAACATGATCACATAAACATATAATTTTACCAAAATGGCATCAGACTACATGTTCAAGTTTGACAAATGCTTCTTTTCATTTAACAAGATGTCATGGAGAGTTTCCAGTAAGTATCAGTCTTTATCTACCTCGTTCTTTCCAATGCTATTGTATTACTGATGGGCAAACAGAGACTATACCCTTTTCTCCACGCTTATACCAACTTTTAAAAATGGATTACATTCGTCTAATAAATACACAGCAAGGCCCCGAGTGGTTAAGGGCTCATCTACTAGCCTAAAGGGGAACATGGTGGCTCTGCAGGATAAGCACTGGACTTTGAATCACAAGGTCACTGGTTTGAGCCCACCAGACGCTCAGGGGGAGAAAGATGAGGCTTCCTGCTCGCACAAAGATGTACACCCTGGAAAACCCTATATGGGTCATTATGGTTTCAAACTAAATGGATGGCATTTAACAACTACTAGTGGTTCAAGCTCACCAGCTATTGCTTGGAAACCCTATACAGGGTCACTATTGGTCGGAACCGACTCGACAGCACTTCACAACACCACCACCACCACCAACAACAACAACAACACCAAGCCTAAAGGTTGGCAGTTCCAGCCTACCCACATGTGCACTGGAAGACAGGCCTGGGGATCTACTTCTGAAGGGTCACAGTCGTGAGAACACGATACGTGGGGTCGCCATGAGTTGGAATTGAAGGCAACTAAGCCCCACAACAAATACACGGAGGCCTTCCTTTAGGTCTGGCTCCAGCGCCTATGCTGAGTCTTTATGAACGCTGCCCTGAGCCCCGTGTAAACCATCGTCCTGACACGAGTGTGTTCATGACCGTGTGTGTTGGAGCGTTCTCTCTATGATCGCCAGGGTCCTTATGAACGCTGCCTACGCCGAGTCCTTATGAACGCTGCCCTGAGCCCCGTGTAAATAGTCAAGCACGCAGACACGTGTGTTCATGACCGTGCAGGTTGGACTGTTCTCTCTGTGACGGCCAGGGCAGCAGGCGCTGTGTCTGCTTAGTGCACCAGCATTAGCTAGAACGCAGCCACTGCCAAGTCAACTCTGACCCCATGTGACCTGGGAAGACAGAGGAGAACAGCCTCATGGGGTTTCCAAGGTTGGCACCTTTACGGAAGCAGATTGCCACAGCTTTCATCTGAGGAGCGGCTGGTGGACTAGAACCGCCATCCAAGTGCTTTAATCATGGTACCACCAGGGCTCCTTTGATGCACAATACATACTTAAATAGGAAACAAGGGTCAAAATGACTGTGGGGATTATAGTAACAGAACAAAATGCATAACTTATAAACTCTGATAAGAACAATGAACAGTCACTAGAAACTCTGTGGTGGGGACAGAGAGGTCGGAAGGCACACACTGATGCCAGTCATGTGGAGTCTCACAGCAGAAAGCCAGCCCGTCCTGCCTGCCATCCGCCAGCTCCTAGTGGATTTCTCAACTCCTTTGTGGATCTGAAAGTCTTTGGGAACTAAGGTCTCCAGATGTTTTCTGTTCACTGGAGGCGAGTGGAGTGAGGGTTGGAGATCCAGTGTTCGGGCTCACACCTGGGCCCCAGGACCTCATGGCAGGGGAGCCACGAGCAAGTCACTGCACCTGCTAGAACCTCAGCTGCTTCTTATGAACACGGAGATACCAACAGCACCAAATCATGGGAGACCCCTGATGGCTGCAACACAGACCACCAACATGGCAACGATTGCGAGATGGCGCTGAACTCTGCAGTGGGGTCGAGGAGTCAGAACCGACACGATGGCACCTAACAAGAATGCATGGAGGACTGAACCTGGAACACCCTCGGAGCACTGCCGGGCACACGGGTAGCTCCAGAGAAGGACTGATTATGAAGGAGATGATGATGTGGCTCTTTCTTCTAGTAATTTCACAAAAATGTAAACTGAGTGTGTCTCACTGTTAAACATATTGAAGATATCCATGATCAGTACACCCATGTTGCCATCCCGCCATATGAATAAAGAGAGGCCTGAAATTATGTTCACCAAATGTCACCTTTGCTTCTTTCTGTGGGCTTTGAATAATTTGTTACTTTCATCTTTGTACTGTTCTCTAGTGATGATCCTGCATTGCTTTGAGAAAACAAGTCTTGAACAATAACAAAAGCCAGATTTCCCAGTTTACCAAGAATAGATTCCAGGGCTTACTTCTCTAACACTCTTAGTGATATTTGCTTCTGTTCACTTTTCCCCCACGGATGTTCTTCTACCAAAAAAGTTCCACCAGACTTGTAAAAGTTCTGTGTACCTTGTTATTGTTGTTAAGTGCTTTCGAGCTGGTTCCAACCCATAGCGACCCTGTATAGGGTTTCCAAGGAGCAGTTCAAATGGCTTAGGAACAGCTATGCTCCGTTGAAGGTTTATGTTCCAAATATTTTTTTTCTTTTAATGTTTTATTATGAATTATGTGATAGTTTACATGGGAGAACATGCATTTCACATTCATCCTATTCCAAATATTTTGCCAAGTTTATCACTTCAGACACCGAATTTGGTTGGAGAAAAGCTTTTTCCACTTCCGGAGGTCTCAGTTATCAATCTTTCTCTGTGGGGCCTTGGGGTGCTGTGTGAGGTGCCGTCAAGTTGCTTCCGACTCCTAGGGCCCCTGAGCACAACAGAATACAGCACTGCCCGGTCTTGCACCAGCCTCACAACTGCTGGTACGTTTGAGCCCATGGAGCTGCCTCGGTGTCAGTCCATCTCTTTCTTTATGGCTCTTCCTCTTCTTTGCTGACCCTCCAATTTCACAAGCGTTAATGTCCTCCTCCAAGGACTGATCTCTCCTGATAACATGTTGGAAGCATGACACATGAAATCTTCTCATTTTGGCTTCTGAGGAGCATTTTGACAGCACTTCTTCCAAGATAGAATTTGTTTTTTTCTGGCAGTCCACGGTCCTTTTAATAGTCTTCTCCAACACTCTAATTCAATTGCATTGATTCTTTCGTGATCTCCCTTATTCATTGCCTAACATTCACAAGCATATACCATGGCTTGGTTAAGGCACATCATTGTCTTCAAACTGAGAACACTTTAAAGAGGTCTTCAGCAGCAGATTTACCTAATGAAAAACATTGATTTCTCGGCTGCTGCTTCCATGAGTGTTGATCGTGGATCTAAACAAAATGAAGTCTGACAATTTCAATCTTTTCTCTATTTATTATGATTTTATTCATCGGCCCAGTGGTGAGGATTTTT